TCCCTCGACGCTGATATACCTAGACTGCTGTTTGCGCGTTTTTTATTTTTTAACCTAACAAGAACACAACGAATCTACCTCTCTCTTTTCGGAACACATTAGTCTCTCATCCGTGCGCAGGCGGACGTGGGCGCACGCACGCACGCCAAAAAAACAACACGAAGGATGCAGCAGAAACCCCATTCCACACAGAAGTACGGAGCACCACCAGAACGGTTACCAATGTGAAAACAACCAACAATATCACGCGGCTGTCGCCAACAGATACGAGAAACGTTGTCAAGGAGAGAGAGAGATAGAGCACACCTGGAGTCACAACCGCAATCATTTCCGCTTCATACGTGACAGTACGGAGCACCAGAAAGGGCATATAGCCCGAAGAAAGACAACAATATCACGCGCCTGCCTCCAACGGATAAGAGAGACATGTCGGCAAGCGGAGGACGGCGTGCCTGGATCGTCGTTGTCGTTCGCTACGGTTTCGACTCCGTCATTTAGTGTTCAACGTGAACACAGCAACAACACGGGGCTACCTCCAACAGAGAGACGGCGGCGAAAACAACACGCAAACCCAGGTGGTACGCACACAAGGCCAAGACGTACCTGTGCAACATCACGTACTTGAAAGGCACACAACGGGGAATCATATGTGGCGTTTGGGGGATATGCCGGCATCAGGTGGCGGGGGGGGGGCACAGCCTTTGGGAGAGAAAGTCGTTGAATTGACAAAACAGACCAAGCCCAACACACACTACAAGAAAACACTGAACACCTATTGACAGTTTGAGATCTCACTGGTTCTTCTGCCTTGGGCGGAGCACGGCCAATAGAGATGTATTTGTTTTGTTTGTGTACGGAAAAAGAAAGAAGAGAGAACAAGATATCACGGTTTCTACCGCCTCGGCGGAACGCCTCTGATTGAAATGGAATGTTTATCTCCCAGAACAACACAAGAGAGAAAATAACAATAAAAGAAAAAGGAAAAGGAAAAAAAAACGCACCGTTTCTGCCGCCTCGGCGGAACGCCTCTGATTGAAATGTTACTATGATCTCCAAGAACAACAAAACAGAATGAACAGCAAAAGAAAGAGGACAAAAAAACGCACCGTTTCTGCGACCGAGGCGGAGCGCCTCTGATTGAAATGTTATTGTCATCCCCCAGAATAACACAAGAGAGAAAAGAACAATAAAAGAAACAGGAAAGGAAAAAAGAACGCACCGGTTCTGCGAACGAGGCGGAGCGCCTCTGGCACCAAGATATTTTTATCTTCTAGAAAAAAGAAAGAGAAAAAACAGTAAATGAAACAGGAAAAAACAAATCTCACGGTTTCTTCGGCCGAGGCGGAACGAGCCCCGGCCTCCTCGGCGGCCTTCCTCATCTGGCCACAGACCGCGCTCATCTGCTCGCACAGGTCTCGAGAGGCCTTGGCGGCGCATTCCTCCCTGGAAGCCACTTCGGCCGCGGCCGCCGCGTCCCCGGTTGCCCGGCTCAGCTCCGAGGCGTGTCTGTCCTGGTCCTCCCTTCTCGCCCGCTGCTCCTGGTGCATATTATTATTATTATTATTATTATTATTATTATTATTATTATTATTATTATTATTATTATTATTATTATTATTATTATTATTATTATTATTACTATTTATTTACTATTATTATTGCTGCTGATATTATTTGCTATTGTTATTATTAGGCAATAATATATATGTTCGAGATGAAACCACAGCAGTACAATGTAGCATAATATTACATATCAAACAACGAATTCATCCCTAATCTGTTGTACGTCGAGAAACAAGCAACCAGGAAGGTTGCACATACCGCCCCCCCTGATTGGTTTTGGAGGAATGAGCAAAGCAGGTGTATGTCGTAGGCTGCGCACGTAACATATTACACCCCCTGGACTGGTTCTTGGTTTTCGAGAACTAAACAACGTAGATCGAATGTCGAAGGTTGCGTACGTGAGACAACACACACCCTAGATTGGTTGTCGAGAAACAAATGGCGTTGATAGATAGATCTTGTAGGTTGCGTACGTAAAGACGTCACACACCTCTGGACCGGTTTTTCTAAGGCCCCGGTTTCTCCACGACGAGGAGAATTAGTCTACGCGTTCTAATGGTGGCAAGTTTCGAGGCAGCTGTCGACGAGGCGTTTCGAACGCCACTGACCGTTTCCGGCACCGTCGCTAATTGTTGCGGCAGAGCAATCGAGCTTGAGAATATCGGTCGAAGGGGCGTGGTATCTTGCGTACGAAACCTACCGTGTTGTGGGCTATCATATGCACGTGAGTTGTCTGGGATTACACCATGCTCTGTACCATATGAACGTGAGGTCCCTGGGTGTACACCATCATGTCTTGTACCGTACGAACGTGAGGGGTCTGGGTTTACGCCACCATCTTTTGGAGTCCAAAACGTGTTACGTGTGGTCCGAGAACAGTTCACGTTTTCCCCCGACTACCAGCAGTACAGCAGTACAGCAGTACAGCAGTAGCAGGTGACACAAAGACACCACGCCCCCCGGGCCAATGTGCAAAAGTTTGATATCTCCACAGCGGTACATACGATCAAAATATCTCAGGCAGGAACCGCAGGAGGGGGTCCAACCTCCCCCTCCAATGTGACCCCGGTTGGGTCGTCTGGCTGGTAGAAGTGGAGGATAGGGGCCAGAGGGGCAGACGACAGAGTTCAATGATGGGAGACCCAAAAAAAGAGAAAAAGTACAAACAGGGGCGGTGCCGAAGAGAGCAGCGGTGCGTTGGAACCGTCTCCCCGTTTACTTCCTGACAACGTAGGCATTTGATGTTGCGGTGGAAGACAAAGTACCGTAAGGTTGCGAGTCAGCGAACAGGCGTGCGACCGATTTGCAAAGCGTAATTCTCCCCAACCAGGAAGGGGGGTGCGAGCGCCAACTGACGCTGCTCTCAAAGACAGCTCTCGATGAAATATTTCCAAAACTGCCCTTTTTCGACAGCAGTGGTAACCTCCCGGTTGTGGAAAAACTACGCTTCGAAAATCGCTCGCACCCCTGTGCGCTGACTCGCAATCTTACGGTAGTCGAGCTTTGAAAGCCGCGCCAGGGCGTGTGGTATTTTGCGTCATATACATCCCAACGATGAGGATATCCTTCCCCATAGGCTGTGGTAATCGGTGGCACAGCACCACGGGCCCGGAGATGAAGAGACGTCGAAATCCGGTCGAGGCTCAGTTTCATTTTTCGTCCGGAGCACAGGATGTTACGTAGCCCGCATTCCACGGTAATTCACCACGGTATTTTTCCCGGAGGATATGAACAGTCTGAACGGCACGCTGGCAGGTCTACACCTTCCCATGGCTACCCCTGTCTCAAGCCTGCCGCTTCGCCGTTTCAAGTGGTACGCTCCTTGACATGGTTGTACCTTTTCACCGTTTCGAGACTGCTCTGCCCTTTCCGTGTGGTATGCTCCTTGCCATGGCTATATACCATTTCGAGACTGCCACACCATGCGTGCTCCTTGCAATCGCCGTACATTCAGTGCCGTTCATGTGGTATGCTCCTAGCCATGGCAAATTTTCAAGACCACCGTAAGAGTACGAGTCAGCGAACAGGGGTGCGATCGATGTTCAAAGCGTGATTTCTTCACAACCGGAAGGGTGCGAGCGCCAACCAATACTTCTCAGGAAAGCTCTCGACGAGATATTTAGAAAACCCGCCCTTTTCGACAGCAGTGGTAACCTCCTGGTTGTGAATTACGCTTCGAAAATCGATCGCACCCCTGTGCGCTGACTCGCAATCTTACAGTGCTGCTGTACCCTTGGAGGATGCATGCTCCTTGCCATGGGCATACCTATTCAAGACTGCTGTGACCTCTAGTGAGATGGCTACTCGATCAAGACTACCGCTGCACCAGTTCATGCATGCTCCCTGCCATTATGGCTACAACTCTCGAGAGTGCTGCGACCTCTCACGCGGTATACAGACCTTGTCGAGAGCCACCCGGCAGTCCTTTGCGAGATCCTCCAGAGCTTCCGAACGTTTGAGCAACGAGGATATCTCTCCCTCGGCTTTCGCTAGACGCCTCCAAGCATCCCTGACCGTTTCGAGAAAAAGAGGCGTGAAACAAGCGAGAACACCATTGCAAAAGTTGAAGCTATCTTGTCGAAACACGACGGAGGAATCATTTCCACCCTTCGAGATACACATTGAAGAGTCCAGGAAAATCATAGGAGCAACGAACTTACCGTGCTTTTTCTCGTCCAAATATGTTCTACGGTGGGGCGCCAGTCTATAAATACCTTTGGTTATGGGCTATTTCGATATTGGTAATCGTGTGGGCTAAATACATAGACTCAACACGTGAGCACTATGTAACATAATCAGCTCTCTTGTTCTTCCCTTAGCAACCCCACGTGCCCATCTGCGATTGACAGACTTCATCGCCCCTCCTTTCCAACCAAACCTCACATGCGTCGCGTCGTGCCTCATTTGACAGCTGAGATACCTTCCAACACACAACGTAGATCAGACACTTGCACAACCGTAGATCTACACACAGAAAGCGTCCGTACTTCAAAAAAAAAAAATTAGGCCTTCGTCGAAGCTGGGGTTTAGGTCCTCCTTTGGCCTACAAACGCCCGACATCCACATGTAGGTTTTTGTGTAGGGGGTCTAAACCGGGCTCACAAAAAGGTGGTCAAGTGATTACGTTGTGACAAGCTCTTCCAAGCAGCACTGAGCTTGAGTTTCTCAACGCCGCGTTCCCTAGTCTGTACCTGTCCGTGATATACTTGAAAGTAGCGCCGAGCTTGAATTCCTTAATGCTACGCTCCCGAATTTGTACCTGTCCGCAACCGAAGCCTCCCCCAGGCGGTGCAGCTCCCGCTTCAGGAGGCCCTCTTCTTCCTCTTTTCGCCGCAGCAAAGCCTCCGCCCGCTCGAGCTGCAAACCCCTCTCCTCCAGCAGGAAGGCGTGCCGCAGAGCTGTGTTCTTGGGAGAGAGAAACGTTTTCAAAAATGCAAGCGTTGTACAGAAAGAGCCGCACTTAAGTTCTTAGTTCCTGAACAGGGTAATTCTACGAATGGTCGCTATGTAGATTTTAGTGTAGGGGTTCTTGACCGAACTCACAAATGGTGCTCAAGCTCCTATATATTGAGTTTTTTTTTCAGGCAGCATCAATTTTTTCACTGACATTTCTGAAGTGCGGGCGCTTTCTGTAAAGGTCAATGGCAAGTTCTTGAGAACCCCTTCGCGAGAAATTCAGTAGTACAAGGAAAAAGAACGGGGAGGGGGTACGCAGACCCTAACCCCCTAACCCTAACCTTAACCCTAAACCCAACTTCCCCGATTGTACGCTTTATCCAGCATGTTTGCTGCGGAGGCTACTAAGTTCTTCAGCTTTAGGAACCTGACCACCAGACGCACGTGCAATTTGTAGAAGCTCGGTTTCGAGCTGCGGGGAAGGCGCATAGCTACATGGGATTTCTCACAAAATAAAGCCTACTTTCACGGCCGTTGCTGGGTCACCCCAGAGGAAACAAGAAGCGAGCCTCGGCATAAAGAAGACGCCCTCAAAAATGTGGGTCTGTCCTATCTGGAAGCGAGGGGCCCTCCCTGACTGAACAGGAACTTTCCCTACACCACGGCACACTGCAAAAGAGCCTCGACTGCTGGCAGGCCGAGAGCGAAGCGTAGGAAGCAGGCCGACGAAGGCCATGACATGCGCCACGAACGAACAGCGCTCCAAACTCATGCGTTGTGCTGTACTGTACAGTGGAGGGGCCCGGTTCGGCGAGACCCCTACTTGTACAAAGTGTCAGGAGGCTTTATGGTCGCTATCGCAAGGCACGCCGCATTTTTCGGTACTGCGGCTGTCAGTCTATCAGTAGTAGTGCCACGAGATTCTTGTGGTCGCTACTCAGGGCATGTCGCCAAAAACGGGGTCACTACAAAATGGGCCCTCACTGTACAGCTCCCTGAAAGTCCGGCAGAGAAAAAATACGACATATATATCCCACCCTTGCGGTCCGCATCCCACACCACCATCATCGCACCTGAACTTCGTTCTCCGCGGCTGACATCCGCCCCGTCCCATTCTCAGCCCCCCCTCCCACCCCGTCCGAAAAGCCTCCGCAGCTAGAAAACCCTCCCCCACCCCCTTCTTCTCTGCTGCTGCCCCGCACACCGGACGACGCAACCTTCGCCTCCAGCTCCCCGAGCCTTGCGGCCAGCCTCCTTGGCGACGAAACCCTGCGATCGGCGCTCCTGGTTACACCGCCGCCATCGCCGCCAACATCAGCCCCGAGCCTTGCGGCAAGCCTCCTTGCGAACGAACCCCTACGGTCAGCGTTCCGCGGAGATGAACCCCTACGGTCGGTGCTCCTGGTTCCACAGCCACCGCTACCCCCGAGCCTCGCGGCCAGCCTCCTCGGAGATGAAACCCTGCGGTCGGCGCTCCTGACTTCACCGCCGCCGGTACGGTCAAGGCCGCCGCCACCGAGAGAGCGGTCGCGGGCGGCGACGACCGGGGAACCAACAGCAGCGGCGGCAGACGGCGGCCAAGCGCGGTGGCGGTCGCCCTCACGACTTCGACCACTTCGATATCCGACACGGCCACCGACACCCCCTGCTGCAACACCCCCGGCGTGGGTGCCGTGGACGCTGGCGGTGGCCCCACCGGCGGGAGCAGAGTGGCGAAGCTCGGAGGAGGAGGAGGAGGAGGAGGAGACGGCGGTTACGTCCGGACCGGTACGCGGAACGGTCTTCTTCTTCTTCTTCTTCTTCTTTGTCGAGGAGGAGGACGAGGGCCGAGACGCCAGGCGTGACACCGACAGCCCGTGACCGTAGCCGTACCCGTCGCCACCATCTTCCACGTCGGTGCCTCCAGCTTCTACCTCGCTGCTGCCTTCAGCAGCGAACTCTCGCGGGTGTTCCCTGCCCATGAGTCCCGGGCTTCTCCTCCTCCCTCTCCGTCTCCCATCACGCGGGGCCCCTCCGCCCCCCCCCCGGCCTCGATACCCGAACCCGTCCTCGTTACCTTTTTCCAAGCAGGTGCTGGTTGTGTTGCTTCCGCTCACGGTCGTGGTGTGGACATCGCTAGCGCCGTCGGTTTGGCTGCTGTTGCCGCTGCTGCTGCTGCTGCTGCTACTTCTGCGGTGGTTGTCGTGCATGCTTCGGCTGTTGTGTTGGGTTGTGGAAGGCGGGGCTGGTGGTGTTCGTCGAGTGCCCCTGCGGTCCGCCCAGCGCTCTGTCTGCTGCTGCTGCTGCTGCTGCTGCTGCCGCCGCTTGCCGCTGGTAGCCATAGGCCGCTCGGCGGTGTTGCCGTAAGGGGAGTGTGGTCCCACACCTGATGTTGTAGCAGTATGTGTACTATATCTTGCCTGAGTGATGGCCGCTAAGCTCCTATGCCCATGTGCACGTCGCGGTAGGAAGCCAGACCAACAGCAGCAACAGCAACAGCAGTGGCAGGTTCAGCAGTGGCAACAAGTGGTTGGGAAAACATTCAATCTCTTGCCAGCGTCCGACGAGGCTTCATTTTGACAGCGTCGGCTATGGACCAAGTACCTGAAACGCAGCGCCTCGTTACACCCAAGCCCCTTTCGCCACGCGTGGGCGCGGCACCGGTGACACCCGCGCAACAACATACACCTTCACGGCAGCAGTGTGGATACCAGACCTTCTACCAGAAAGTCACGCACTAGAAACCAAACTTTTGACCTTGACAAGTGGTGATAAAGTGGTTCTAGACAAGGTAGGAGTGGTCTCGATCGGGACACAGCAATGAGTGCTACGCAATAAATGCCAAGGCCTGAACTATTTAGTCATAGTCGTATTCACCACGTTCAAGCTTCACGTTGTGTGGCACGAGGGAACAATGCAACACTCTGTACATGCACAAGACTTATGGATAACTACATGTAGATGCTGGTGACGCTGCTGACAGCAGCTATGCACATGCAGAACGTATCCATACGGGTGAGCGAAGACTGCAAGGTCCATTCCGGTGCAAGGTACAAAGCAAAGGTACTTGCAGGTTTTGCGTTGCACCACCCAGCAGCTTGGTACACATCATACTCCAAACGTCCAGATCCTTCCAATCACTTTCAAGAGGCAGCAACAATATGCCACATGTCTGAACCATAGAAACTTGTACCGTCAGTTGTACGCAACAGCTCTGGAAGCTGGAAAGAGAGCTGTGCTGCTGCAGCTGACTTGAGGATGGATAGGAGTAGAGAATACAGAGGTCACCGCAAGTCAGTACTGCCGAGAGGGAAAGTGTCCAAAAGGTGTCGGTTCACTGACACACCCATGTCCTGATCTACGCCCTCACGTGTATGTACCTCTCTCCTCATAATAGCTACATACATCAAACTCGCGCCGATTAACAAAGTTGTATAAAGCACATCTCTCGCCAAGTGGCAAAAATGACGCTGCCGTTGGCCCCTCGCACGGCGGTTGTGTGCTGCTGTATCCTGTACACTAAAACGCGGAACAAAACGGGTATTCATAGTCTCTTATCATCACTGATCGCTGCTCACCGAGATCCAAAGTTGGAGCAACTGGCGGCGAAGGGCCACCACGAGAGGCAGCAGACTCGTCCACGACAGGTCCATTCAGGCTTATCACGCCGGCGGCGGCCCTTCGCCAGCTCCCCGGCGTGTGCGAGCACGGCGGCGGCGGTACATCAATCTGCTCTGCTCTCTGCAGTCTCTGGTCTGTCCCGCTCTCCGCCTCCTGAGGGGGCCCAACAGATTGTTCTAATATGTAAAACATAGTAGTTGTAATGACCATGTCACGGAGCCCTCCGTGGTCGGTGCCGGGCGATCACACTCATCAGCTGAACAAACAAACTTTCACCAACACGGAGCACAAGGAGGAGAACAGCGATAGTGACAATCCAAAAATATGAAGCTCGCAACGATGATGGTCGCGCTCGTGGCCGCGATCGCCTCCCTGGCGGCCGGCGGAAATGCGTTCGTCATGCCCCCCGCGGGCGTCGCGGGGCGTAACGCCGGCCGGCAGGCGCTGGCACCCGCACCCTCGCAACCCGCTCCGTCGCGCTCGTCAGGTAAGGGAGAGACAAGAGAAGGTAGACGAACGGGAGAACCATGAGTGCAGTCACTGCTGTCGTGGTGGAATTGGGGCGGCGCTCTGCGGCTGCCGCTGCTATTGTTGCATTGTCTGCTTTTTGAGGGAGTGGTACTGGCTGACGCAATATTTTTGTCATGATGTGAGGCCTTCATGACGCCAAACGCGCGCTCACATGTGTGCGCTTAGAAGCGTGCCTTCAGGAGGGCGCGAGAAGCGACGGACCGTAAAACAGCCTGGCGTTGCAGGTACCGAGAGGGTGTATTCTCCCGGGTGTTTGACCTTGGGCTCTTCGTATTTTGACGCGTCTGCTTATTTGCCTCTCCTGCGTGTTGAACATGCCCCCCTCTCCATCTCCAAGTGAGTCACTGATGTCAACATGTCAACCTTCAGCAGTGCCTCTTTGAGCCGGGTGCTGTGCATCTTGTGCCCCTTGTTCTCTGCTGTGGGCACATCCCGAAATGTAGCTGCATCCATGTGCCAATTGCGTCAGTGTTTCATTGCTGTCATTTGCGCAGCATCCCTTCGTCGACATGCGAGCAGAGGTTCAATCCGAGCAATGCGATCCTCAAACTTGCCCTGCTGTTTACGATGTGGCCGTAACCGCACGTTGTACACTACGGCGGTATACAACGGTACGCTTGGTGAGGAATCTGGAACACATGTTTTGGTACGCGCGGTCTAGCGAGACCCCTGGTTGTGTCAGCAGGGAAGGTGCTTGCTGCTGTAGCAGCTTCCAGCCGTGTGGTGCCACGCTATTTTGTTGTCACTAAACGGGGCATGTCGCCAAAACCCGGGCCCACCACAGCAGTTGCAAGAAGTAATTATTTTCAAGTGACTAGACGGCACAACTGCTGTTGTTTCAGCAGCAGCATCATCCGTACCTGACGACGGCGTGCAGGCAGAGTCAGTGCTTGTGTGCGTACGTGTGTGTTTCTTCAGAGCAGAGAGAGAGGGAGATAAATCGCTGTCGAAAGGCCCCGTGCTTGCGAAGAAAATTAGAGGGTGTGTCAATGCTGTGATAATGATATGCATACAACTGCAGGTATGGTCCCGGTTTAGCGGTTCCCTGTGTAGCGGCATGCCCTGAATATTTAGCAGTTCCGAAATCTCGTGGCAACGCTGCACCTCGGTACTCAAACTACTGTACATGACTGCCATTCTATTTAGCGGCGATACTCTCAATAACGGTCAAAACATTTTGACACTATGCACCGCTAAACCGGGACCGACTACCGTATGTGACACAAGATAACACGCCACCTGGACCGATTTTCAAATCTCGATTTCTCAACAGCAGAAAGAGTCACAGCGCCGAAAACGGTGGCGTCGAAGCCGTCCGATCAAGAGCTTTCCGAAAATGTATCCTTTCGTTTATGCATCCTCTTCGTCGTGACGTAATCGAGCTTTGACAACCGGTCCAGGGGGCGTGTTATCTTGAGTCAAATACGGTATACCAACATTTCGTTCGTTGGATACCACAACCTCCTCATTCGTCATGCCACGAAGAGGTGGCAAAAGCAAATGATACTATATATACCTTCAGGAATGATGTCGAGGGCGCGGTTCCAACGACGCGGCCTTGTTTTCGGCACCGCTGCTGTTGATGCGTTCAAGCTGAAGACTGTTCTGGCGTTAAGGAAAAAAACAATAAAGCATCGATGTACAAGCATGCGGTGTGCGGTATTGATGCAACGTAGCATAATTTTTTACGGTAAGGTATCCTGTGAGCACGGGAATCACTCGGTCAAGTGTTTGATCAGGACGGACAGATGAAGGCACTGGACAGAGAAATCTGAACGGTTTTTTAATGTCGATGTGAAGACAACACCGCCACCACCAACAACGGACCTTATTTATTTCCAGTCCTTCTCACAGAAATCTTGGTGCCCTCTTAGAGAAGTCTTGGTGCACTCTCACAGAAATCTGGTGCCTCCTCACAGCAATCTTGGTGCCCTCTCACAGAAATCTTGGTGCCCTTCGTCGTTTTTGGCTGACTTCCGTCGAAAGCACCATGTGTTTGGAGGGTCAAACTCGGAAGAGGTTCTGGAACAAGTGAGACACCCGGAACGAAACATGCTCACGAGCTATGTACACGTGCCATGGTATCTCGTGTCGCCTCAACCTACAACGGGTGCTGCTACCCAACACGACACACTGTGATTGAGTCTCCTACTCTACAGTATTCAGCAATCAGGGAAAGCGTGGACTTCATTAGCCATCGCGAAATCACCCAGAGAGAGGTCTGCCGAAAATGTCAACGCTGCGGTTGCCTTTTCTCTCGAAGTCATCTTGTATCTGGTAGTTACGTTCTTGAACCACGTTGCTGACTTGCCCCCCCCCCACCTCCTCCCATCTCGCGCGCGTGCCCTTCGTGCTGCACCCCCTGTTGTGGCTTTTTTCGCTTGGACGCTTTGGAGAACAGGAGCGTCCGCTGTCGGCGCCCTCAACGTCAAGATCGTGCTGGGCGAGGAGGAGAAGTGAGTTGAGAGTGCTCAGCTAAACTCTGCTATTGACCAACTATTGTGTATTTGCCGTAACGTGTGCGTTTGTTTATCTCTGGGGAAGGAAGCTCTTTCAAGCGACTCAAGTTATGCGAACTTTCGCGAGTGTTGCTGTTGTTGAAAATCAATTGCCGTGTCGTTGTCGCGTGACATGTTCGGCAGACATAGCTGGGTAGTCTCTTCTCTTCGGGGAACACCGTGTGCAAGGTTTTCATCGGGGTGCTGTGTGATGAGCTGCGTGTTTCGATTCGAGTTGGTCGCTGCGACGAGTGCTCAATCTATCGCATGTCAAGAAGTCGCCGCAGATTTGTGTTGGTTGTTCTCTGGTCTTGCAGGGCATATCTTGACTGACAAAACACGCATAAAAACACGAGGATTGCTGAACGGCCCAGTTGCCAACGTCTCGTAATGGCCCGAGAATCAGGTATACTCAAATTACCAGAAGCGCTGTGTGAGACCTGGTCAACGGCCGAGCATCTGATACTTGCGTCAACGGCCGAAATATCATATACTTCCTTACGGATACTTGCTTCTACACGTCATGGCTGTTGTCACTTAGCACGGACCCCCTCCTTTCTCCGTCGCCAAGACGGACATATGCCGCATCAGACAAGGCAGCGCAAAGGCCTTCCACTGTGCTGGCGGAATTGCAATCCCTTGTTACTTTTGCTTTTTTCCCTGTTGTTTTCCTTGTTTTGCCACTCTGGTTCCGTTCCTGCATGTCCTTAGACCCTTTGTCATAACCACAGCCGGGCACCGGAGCACGTGAGCTCTTCGCTTGCTCATGTTAGGTTATGCGGTCTCCTATTTGTTCCTTGATACAACACGGTCATTGGAGGAAGACGACAGAGCCGTCGCCGGTGTTGATGCGTACCAAATTTCGTCCGCGATACCTCCACCCCCCACCCGAAAACGAATCTCTTCCACGAT